AAATTTCATATTCATATAGCGCAAAACCGCTTGGAAGAACTTTTGGCCATGTTCACTCCTAATGACAAAAGTCACTGAGAGCTCAGCCTCGCTTCTGAAGACTGGTGTTGTAAAGTACCATTGTCCTTGCAAGAATTTTCACCACACCAGAGGGCTCTCATCTTTGAGACGACAAACTGTGCAGCGAATCGCGAAACTTTTTCTCTGAACAGTCGCTTAGTACAGAACAGTAAGCCAGTGCAAAGCACCACATGAAAAGAAGAAAGTATTGAATAATCTCCACGTTGTCCCTTCTTGTAACCTCGGCATAATGTCGAATGTTTTATTACTTCTGCCAAACGAGGTTGTTAGATGAAACCTTTTATTGGCCCAACGTTTCGACCTTCTCGTCTTCTTCAGAGGCCTGAAAATGGCTCGAAGCTTTTAATTTGTTACCTACCCGACCAAACGCCCTCCCCACTCTAGCGTTTCCGACCTCGTTTCCCGAACGCTTCCGAACAACCCGGCAATGAGTGCTAACAACTCACCGAAGGTCTCACCGTGCGGAGCTTAGCTCACGCTGTGTGTCAGTAAAAAAGAAAGTATTGAGTTAAACGATTTAGATTACAAAGTATGGAGTAGGATTCAGCTTACGTCCCTGAACTGGCGCCATATAAGGACTTACTGTTGATGGATTTTGATACCATTCTTCCGATACTGTGTGGAGGAGCTGTGGTGAAAGGCCGTGTTCAGTGGTTTCCCTCTAACCATAAAACGTTTTGAGGGTGATAATTTCTTGCGCTTTTTGAACTCTTTGGCATAAACCTTTTGGAGCTTCTTCTCGTTTTTTGAACATTTAAATTTTGTAATAACTTAGGAGTTGAGCGGTCGACTCAATTCTGATTCGACTGATGTGAAAATGAAATGAAACGTTCTCACTGGGCCTCTGCCCTACAATACTTGAGCTATAGCGGTCGCAGTTCTATCGAGGAGTGTGAAGAAGATTCCACAGGACCGTAGCACACCCTTCTGCAGATAACCTCGGTGTACAATCCAGTGAAAGGCAGCGTTCAGACTTCGCGATGACGCGCGCCAACGCGCTAATATCCCTGAGATTTCATGCGATCAGAGGCGAGCTGGTTCTACTGTGTTCACCGTCTTGACAAGCTAAAGCCATAAGCAGGCGAGCCAATGAGGTTCTGTAGTGATTATCCTTGCCTAGAGTAGGCATGTAGGCAATCAGACAACGGGAACACATTGCCAGTGGTCTCCTTGACACTGCCGAACTGCCAGATAGTCAAGCTCATTAGGACCAACACGCTTTGGTCAGACGAATTCTGAAGATTTAAGGATTGTCTGAGCAGAAGATGCTCAATGCCCATAAAAGCTTTTTCAGCGCCTCCACAACCGTGATCATCGAAAAAGTGTGTTCGTCCTTGCTCTACAGCGTACATTGTAGTCAAATGCGGCTTGTAGTGAAGAATGGCTTGAGAGTATCACCGCTTCACACAGACATAAAGAAAAAATGGAGGGAACGACTTGTTGATATAGAATGTTATCTAAAAACTATTTTGAGCATGGTTCATTTTCGCTTGATACTCTCTCGCATCCTGTGGTCTGGACGATGTCCCTCAATGTTGAGCCGGCCGTCGGCAATTTTCCAGCCACTGGAGGCAATGCTACACATAACATTATTTCACTTGTCGATACGAGGCTCGCTTTCAAGGTATGACTCTCAGTTGATGATCAACTATGCCTTCAAGGTTCTTGTGCAGAGCTTCAGCCCAACTCACTTTCAGAAAACACCTAGAATTTGGTCGACAACCAGTCCGACTGCTTTAATGATCCCCGACTGTCCTCGAAATCTTCCATGTTTAGGTGAAGTCATCAAACAATGATCACTATCGCGTCAGGCCTGTGTATGGATTCGTTGATGGAAAGGTGAGAATACACAACAAGTTGTAGAATTTGTACTTATCTCCAATCCAGAGCTAGGTCATCCACTTAGGGATGCGCATCACTGAATTATTGTAACCTCGGAAGGAATCATTCTGCAATAGCGCCGGTGCTATGATGGGAGTCTGCAATTTTCGCGGCGAGAGAGCTTCTCCTGAGCTTCTTTCCTTCCAAAATCGCAGACCTTTATGCACTGACACAAATTTGTAGAGTGGCTCATTTGAGGTATGAACAGCTTGAAGATTCATCTTCGACCTTGGGCAAGAAGCTCCTGATTTCGAATGACACTGTTCAAAACGCATATCATGACTGTCCACACTGGATGAACAGAGCCGTTTTCTTCTGATGGAAAGGAATCCAAAACGGGTGACGAGGGAATGAGCTTCCGCGTGATAGGCACTCTCCTCTCCCCAGCTTTGGAAGAAAGTTGGCATAGGAGGACCAGTTTCCTTGAGAAAAAAGCGAAGGCAAACGGATACGAAGATCAGTTTGGTATAAATTTTCCTGAACGTATTTGTTGTGGTCCAAAGTGCTCTGCGCCGGTATGCTCACTACATACTGAAATAGCGCCAGCATCGACTTTACGATGCAGGAGAAGTGCCTATGTAAGTGATCATCGAAAGCAGGCCATAAGCACGTGAGGTACCCAAAGGGAATCACCCCACTGATTTTTCCCCGGAGATGCGCCACGTATTTCACCTCGAGGGAATCCTTGTTGTCCTGAGCGGGAACTGACTTGGGGTTTGACTCACCTACCGCGAAAATGGATAATTGGTGCCACTAACTAATACAACACCTGTGATCAGCACCGGAACTTTGGATAGCAGAGTACAGGCCAGCAGCATTTGCGGTATAACTTCAAGTTGTTTTATTACTCTTACTTATAACTTTTCTCTGATATCTTCCAAATGACCTCTTTCTCCAGTTGATTTGCTCGCACTCTTGGCTGTCATTTCAACTGTGATCTCTTTCATCATTTTTGCTCGCAGGCTCTGAGAAAAATGGTTTTCAGTCGTCTTCCAGAAATTGATTATTGGTACGCTCCACATCCCAACGCGACTCGAGGGACGTGGCTGCGGGGCATAGCTTATCATTGGTTTTTCATAAACTACTTCCTTTGGGACAACTGTCGTCCAGTTCTCTACTAGCAGTATGGTAATAGTTGCTTTGAAACGTCATATGAGGAGCGCAGCGGCGGCCACGATCAAACTGGGTACAGATCCGCGTCCACTCCATCTCAGAATACGGGGTGTGCCCCACTATAATGGCCCTGTCTACGTAGATAGACATAGGCCGAAAGCTTCAAAGCAGGTCGAGAGGCGGTTTCTGTAATATCCTGACAACGACCTCTCACTGCAGGGAGCAAGCGCGCAGAGAGGCGATTTCTGCCTACGATGTGCGGTCACAGAATCGCAAGTGACCGGAGTACGCGGCAGTGCAATCAAAATTCTTTTACACATTCTGTCTTCGTAGCTGTGCATAGTTATGTTTTTGATAGTCTTCAATAAACTCTTGTAATACGTTGCTCGCTGGTATGAGTGCAGCTCAAAACGTTTCCTGATTTGTGGTCATTGTCAGGGTCAGGCTTTCTACTACGCTTTTCTCAATCACCCGCGGCTTGTTTTTGTCCTTTCAACGAGTAAGGGTTTCATAATTGAGGTTGACAAAAAAGTATTCTGCGCCAGGTCATACTCCCCGCTTGAGCTCTGCTTATATGCTGAATTGCTTGTGAAAAATCTGGGCTTCTCTGCGTTCTTCTCTGATCGAGAAGAAGTTATTGAGTTAGCTTTCTAGGGCAGTGGTGAAATCCGCTCC